TGGCTGTTAACTCTGTTAGTCGTTTAAGAGTTAAAGCTAACTCGGATGAGCTTGCAAATAGAAATCTATTCAGGCTAGCTAGCTAGCAAGCTGGCTGTCAACTTGAAGAAAAAAGCAAAAAAGCAGATGCTAACTTTGAAAAACTAGCTAAAAACCAAAGGTGTGAGGAATTTAATTAGAAACACTTTGGACTGTTTTGACCTTTGATAACTCAACAAACCCACTAATTATCATACCTGTTAGTCGTTAGCATGTCACCTAAAATAAGAGTGTAAAAACAATTTATAGTTTTTATTGATTTGCTACAGGCTAACTATCTATTCAGGCTAGCTAGCTAGTTGGCTGTTAACTCTGTTAGTCGTTTAAGAGTTAATGCTAACTCAGATTAGCTTGTAAATAGAAATCTATTCATGGAAGGAGACAGGCTGATGTTAAATAGTAGTTTTTATTGATTTGCTACAGGCTAACTATCTATTCAGCCTAGCTAGCTAGCTGGCTGTTAACTCTGTTAGTCGTTTAAGAGTTAATGCTAACTCGGATTAGCTTTTAAATAGAAATCTATTCAGGGAAGGAGACGGGCTGATATTAAATAGTAGTTTTTATTGATTTGCTACAGGTTAACTATCTATTCAGGCTAGCTAGCTAGTTGGCTGTTAACTTTGTTAGTCGTTTAAGAGTTAATGCTAACTCGGATTAGCTTGTAAATAGAAATCTATTCAGGCTAGCTAGCTGGCTGGCTGTCAACTTGAAGAAAAAAGCAAAAAAGCAGATGCTAACTTTGAAAAACTAGCTAAAAACCAAAGGTGTGAGGAATTTAATTAAAAACACTTCGGACTGTTTTGACATTTGATAACTCAACAAACCCACTAATTATCATATCTGTTAGTCGTTAGTATGTCACCTAAAATAAGAGGGTAAAAACAATTTATAGTTTTTATTGATTTGCTACAGGCTAACTATTTATTCAGGCTAGCTAGCTGTTAACTCTGTTAGTCGTTTAAGAGTTAATGCTAACTCGGATGAGCTTGTAAATAGAAATCTATTCAGGCTAGCTAGCTAGCTATCTGGCTGTCAACTTGAAGAAAAAAGCAAAAAAGCAGATGCTGACTTTGAAAAACTAGCTAAAAACCAAAGGAGGGCGGACTGCATCAGCCCACAAACACACATCAAGTGATGGGAGGACGTAAAAGTCCTGATGAAGGGTTCCCGTGAGAGCCGGGAACAACTGCATACCAGGCGGCCATGTTGGGGGGGGGAACAGCTGTCTGAGCTCCTGCTTCTATTTAATTTTTTGCTCTTCATAAAAATATCTTTCAAATTCCTTTGCTCCTTTGTCAATGTATATGAAAAAAAAAACTTAAATATGAGACACACAGGTTTACCTGCAATGTCACTAAACGTATACTCAGCTTCCCATCGGCTATTAAAGGCTCTAACGGACTAACCTGATCCAGGTCAGTTAGCATGGGGGCTAACGGACCGTTAGCATGGAGGCTAACGGACTAACCTGATCCAGGTCCGTTAGCGTGGGAGCTAACGGACTAACCTGATCCAGGTCCGTTAGCGTGGGAGCTAGCGGACTAATCAGATCCAGGTCCGTTAGCGTGGGGGCTAATGGACTTACCTGATCCAGGTCCATTAGCATGGGGGCTAACGGACTAATCAGAGCTCCCCGTGCTACTGAATCTCTGCCTGATGGAGCTCCACTCGGAGCTGAGGGGGCTCCCGGGATCATGAGGAAACGCAACAGGTGGGCCAAAAATGACAATGCTAACGGACCTGGATCAGGATAGTCCGTTAGCCCCCACGCTAACGGACCTGGATCAGGTTAGTCCGTTAGCCCCCACGCTAACGGACCTGGATCAGG